TGCCATGAAGTATGCACTCGCGAAGTTCAGAGTCTATCAATTAGGAGATAGACCCTTCATTGTCTACACTGACCATGCGTCATTACGCACGGCAGTGAACAGCCCGCACCTATCACAACGAATGGCGCGGTGGTTTTCATTCTTTGCAGAATACAACTTTACGGTCGAGTACAAACCAGGACGACTTAATGTCGTCGCTGATGCACTCTCACGTCGTCCCGACTTTGAACCAGTCGTGAAACCCAACAGAGAGACATTCACTGTTGCGGTTATGACGTCCTCAGTCCCATCTACAACGTTGTATGATGATGTGAGGCGGGCATACGCCCAAGATGGTGAGATAGTGAAGTTGTTGGCACATCTCTCACAACCATCCCGAGAATCGTTGAAACGATTGTCGTCTGCGTATCGATCTGCATCAGATCGATACACTACTCGCAACGGTTTACTGTATTATACAGCCGTTTCTGGTGACACACCACGTGTTGTCATTCCAGATGATACTGATCTGCGTTTGCGGATCATGTTCGAGTATCACGATGCTCCTATAGGAGGACATCGTGGCCGGGAGAAAACATATCTCACGGTGAGTCGAGACTTTTACTGGCCCCGCCAGTATCAGTTTGTGCGAAAGTAAGTTCGCGCATGCGAAGTCTGTCAACGAGTGAAGTCAAGTCCTTCACTGCGTGCACCTTTACAGCCTCTACCGGTTCCGGCTGAGTGCTGGGAATCCATCTCAATGGATTTCGTCTTCGGGTTACCCAAAGACGCACGCGGGAATACGGTTATCCTCGTATTTGTTGACAGATTCAGCAAAATGGTACACCTTGTGGCTGTACCAGAGTCAATCACGGCAAGTGGCTGTGCTTGTGTCTTTATTGACACCATCTTCCGACTTCATGGGTTGCCCCGTGAACTCGTATCAGACAGAGATCCACGCTTTACTGCTGATTTCTGGCGCTCCGTGTTCAAATCACTCGGAACGCGCTTGAAGATGTCAACATCTGATCATCCAGAGTCAGATGGTCAGACGGAACGTGCCAATCGTGTCCTCGAAGAGATACTTCGAGGACACGTACACTCCTTTAAGAGTTGGAGTGAGTTCTTGCCAATGGTAGAGTTTGCCATTAACAACTCGGTGCATGCGTCCACGACACATACACCGTTTTACGTGAACGGCTTGCGCCATCCGCATGCACCCACCTTACTAGAGTGTAACTCTGGTTTAAGGGGGGGAGAGACTCGCGCAAGCAAAAACCGATTTGGTTCACGCTCATCACGCTCTGACGAAGAAGTCATTGCGTTTGATGCCGACATCGATAACATCGATATCGAAGAAGATGATTCCAGTGAGAGTGCGGAAGCCCTCACTGAAGAAAAGGTTGATGTTGCTGCAGTGCGCTCACAGCGCACTGAAGCTAACGAGTCATCAGATGAGTTCATACTGGCTCGTGAAACGGTAGTCCGTTTTGTGCAAGACTCCATCGCCGAAGCGGTGGATAAGCAAAAGCAAAACGCTGACAAGAATGGAAGGGCAAACACTCTTTTATTTAATAAAGGTGACTTAGTCCTACTGTCTACGGTTAATCTACCAAAGCATGTAGTGACTAACTTGGGTAGCAGTAAACTTCTACCCAAGTACATCGCCCCATTTCGTGTATTGCACCGCCTAGGCAATGCATACACGATCGAATTGTCACGTAAGATGCAAACGCACCTCACGTTTTACGTTGGTCGGCTTAAGCCGTACCATCAGTACGCTGTTTCTTCCGATGAAGAACGCCCTTGCGCTCAAGCATCTCACAGAGGGTCTTGTGCTCCCGATGGTGGATATCGACAAGGGTCTGAAGAGCAGTTATCTCAGCCCGAGACCGGTCAATATCCCCACGAGCTACCCTTAGCTCGTCACGCAGAGACGTCAAAGCTCTCTCATTCTCAAGCTGAGCAAAGGCAAACTCAGATCGATACTTCAAGACAGTGTCCGCATGTTGGAGACGCCTGTCCCGCTCATGTTCGAGATCGCCGCGTAACGCTTGCGTTACGCGATCAAAGAGGCTCTCGGGGATACACGCTTCCCCACGATAGTTTGGGGAGCGTTTTCCCTCCTCCTCCACCTCCATTAGAGGTTCTCGCGGTGGCCAGTGCTATCTGGTTGAGCAGCTGTTGAACCACCGCGATGTGAACGGACGTCGGATGAGTTACCTCGTCCGGTGGCGCGGTTATCCCCCGTCCTGGGATACTTGGGAGCCCCGCTCCCAACTGATGATCGACGTACTGGGTCTGGTTGAGCAGTACGACGCGGCACATCCTGTGCCGCAGAAGGACCGCCAGAGAAAGTCTTCCCGGCACGGTCATAAAGGGATTTCAGGTTGTCAATCCCTTCGTACATCTCACTAGAGATACGTACGCGCCACCACGGGCTAGTAAGGAGGTAAGCCTCCTTAGGTGCGCGCGCAGAGTTGTTTACACAACAAGGGCACGGGTCTCCCCAAGAGAGGCAGGGTAACCCACCCTTCTTAGACAGACGATGCAGCTTGTAGCGTGCACCTGTCGGGGTTCGCTTTTCAAACTTATCACGAGCTTTGATAAGTTTGTCGTTCCAAACGTCACGACCTACATCCTCAAGGTTATGGATGTAAGCGTTCCACGCTTGAAGTAGTGAGGGACCATCACGTTTGTGATTCCCACTGTACCATCGATGTCTAAAGAAAGCATCGATGAAGAATTCATGTTCAGCGCGATAGTTTTTCGCGCTGGGGTCAAGGTGATGGATCCTTGACGAATCGAACAACCGTGTTCGATAACGATCACTCGTCGTCGCCGACAAGTGATCCATGACAGATTTGGGAGGCATCCATGCCTTCTTCCCGGGAGCGAGACGCAACACATTGCGGTCCCGCTCTTCCTGCGATGTGCCGACAGAAGGACTGGCACCTCGTTGCGAAGTGGTGTCCATAGGAGAACCGACACCACTGTTAGCGCCCGAGTCTTGCGACCTCGAGCGCCTTCGCTTTGGCGATGGTTCATCTGATTCGTCAGATGAATTAAAGATGCTACGACGCAAAGCATCATCCATGCCACGCTTGGCAGGCGGCTTGGTTTCAACCGCCTTCGTTACGGATCCGTCTTCCGTATCGGGAGAGTATGAGACACTGAGCTCATACTCTGTAAATACATGAGTGTCTTTATGACGAGCGCCTGCATCACCAGGTGACACAGGCTGAGTCGCTGTCAGCAACCGATGACACATCAGTTGCAGTGGTTTCTGCTTCGACGTCTGCACAGAGACGTGCAGACCCGCTCTCAGCTGACTTGTTCGCGCACCGCATGGACTTGTTTACCATGCGATGAAACTAATGGACTGTGGACTCGGACCAACAAGTGCAAACCCTGTCCCAAATGATTTGGGACGAGTATCCATTTAGTCAATCAGTCACTAAAGTGACTGATGGGTAAGGGGGGTGATGTAACGGGGTGAATCGTTACATAACAATTTATAAGAAATTGTTTATAGAATATAACTATAAGAGTTATATTCTCAGAATTTTGTCATAAGGACAAATATTCTGTAGCACTTACGAGTAGTTCCTAATTGGCTGATATAGGCTATTATATCAACCAACGAAGACGCGCCACGATAGACGCACGCAATAAGTGGTGAGCAGATAATTGATTTACACATTTGTATTTAGACATAGTTAGATGAAGATAAATAGTGATTTATTAACAGACATTAACTATACTGAATACAGCTCTACTTTTTACTCTAACCAAGTACTCGCTTCTTCTTACCGTCTTCCTCTGCACGTACGAGTGTACGTGAAGTTACGAGGCACCGCCTTATTCTGTCATCAGAATAAGTAGCTTGTACTGTCACCAGTACAAGCTTCAGGGTGCCCCGTTACAGCTTGGCCTTATTAAACAGGACGTGACTCTCGCTGACAATTTCATGGAACACCTACCATACGTTCATTCAACCATACAGACCAATGTCGCTACATTATTTGGCCATCTAACATGCGAGCAACGGACTGACATTGAAAATTTTCTTTTTTCAATGTTTGAAAGCTGGTGTCACGAACTCCCTGAACAGCACTGGAAACTTGGCGTCATCCATACTTTCCAAGCCATCTGGACACGGAATTGTCTATGCATATAAATCATGCTCGACAACACCATTTCTCGGGCCAAAGCTCTCATGCAAGGACTGTTACAGGAAGGACGCATGGCACTACAAGATTCAACGATGGAGACAACTACTGGCCGACTAACTAAAAGTGGCAACGTGGCGCTACCATTTACGATAGTATCACAGGATGACTTACGAACTTGCCATTGTTTCGAGCACACCGGCCGTAGCATTCAAGTGCTAGAGATGGATACGCGCTCTCTACAATCCATATGAAAGAGGTGACGGACAACCTCCGTGGCGACCTAGCTCACTGGCAGGGAGGTAACTGGAAGGAGATTGGACAAGCTCATACACAAGATGTTGATCCGAGGTAGGCGATGGTAGCTGCCATATGTTAGCACAATCTGTAGCTAGCACAGCAGTAGGGGATGTCTAGGCTACTACCAGACGGGCATTTTCGGGTTGTTAGCTCCACTAAAGTATTGTAATGTACTCAAATAACAGAAACGTTTCTTCATTGGTTCCGTCCGAACGTTTTGGGCATTTTTTCTTCCCTTTTAATTTTAGGTTTTGGCAACCCCTTTACCGTTCGCTGGGTGGTCACAGAAACGAGGAAGAAGGGGATGCCAAACTTAATAATCCGCCACTGTTTCTACCTCCATGCAGGACAACAAATCGATGCGATCATTAGGCATCGTCATTTCTGTGCAGGAGCTATTTAGTCGAGTAGTCTGCTCCCCAGCTGTGATGTACCCCTCTTCGCAACCCCCACAGTTGGCGAGCAAACAGCCCCCTGGAGACAAAAGTCGACATCACTCGCCCAAAACAAGTCGCGCCGTTCGTGTTCGAGCTCAATTGTCCCCACTCGATGGCAGTGATCACCTTCACGCCTCTCTACGGCGTGCACTCGAGCGCCCCCTGCTGCGCGTATCTGCTCGAGGTGGACGACGTGTGCATCTTGCTCGACTGCGGCTGGACGGATGAGTACGACGTGGAGATCCTGAAGCCGCTGCAGCGCGTGGTGGACCGCATTGACTTGGTGTTAGTATCGCACTTGGACCTGGCGCACATGGGGGCGCTGCCATATGCGATGGGCAAGTTGGGGCTGAACGCGCCTATTTATGGCACACTGCCCGTGCACCGTATGGGACAGATCGCTCTGTACGATGCGTTTCAAGCCAAGACGAAGCACGAGAGCGACTTTGCGCTCTTCTCACTGGACGACGTGGATCTGGTCTTTGAAAAGTTCCAGCAACTGAAGTACTCGGAGAAGTTGACGCTCACGAGCTCCGGTGAAGGCATTGTGATTACGCCTCATGTGGCTGGCCATCTCATTGGCGGTGCGTTGTGGAGAATCGTGAAGGAGACGGTGAGAGCTGTTTGAGAGAATGGAAGGTGTTGACGTTGTGTCTGACTATGGATCTGCTCTTGGACGGATGTCTGCTGCTGGCGTAGGATGACATCATTTACGCTGTGGACTACAATCATCGCTCGGAGCACGTGTTGCAGAAGACGATCTTGGACTCGTTCACGTGAGATGTAGCTGAATGTTTACAGCACCAGTGACTGGCTCATATTCACGTTTGTGCTGCTTTTCGTGGTCTTATTTGTGGATGTTTGCGATTCGCAGACGTCCTACATTGCTCATTACAGACTCAATGAATCTTCACGCAGAGCAACCAAAGCTTAAGGACCGAGACAGCAAGGTTGGTTATTGTTCTTTTGGTGGTAGTACAGATGTCTGGAGTCAAGGCTAAGGAATTTGATTCGCTCATGATGTGTAGATCATGATGGAAATTTTGAAAACAGTTCGGAGTGGAGGAAATGTGTTGATTCCGACCGATAGCTCTGGCCGTGTGCTGGAGTTAATGCGGGTGTTGGACCAGTACTGGATTCAGAACAAGTCCGTGCTGAGCATTTGCGCGGTGATGCTGCTGGCACTGCCCGAGCAACCACGAGCTAATGTCGTCATTGTGGTGTAGGCTACGCGATCCGATTGCGCTTCTCCATGATATGAGTTATTACACGCCAAAGGCTGCGCAAGCAATGCTGGAGTGGTGCAATGACCGCATTGCAAAGAACTTTGACGTCGGTCGTCAGAATCCGTTTCAATTCTCGTACGTGTCACTTTGTTCGAGCAGAAGCAGTGCGGCTTGCAAAACACCTGATGTTGTTTTGTTGTTAGACACATTCATCTAGTACATACTCTGGAAGAACTGGATGCTCTCCCAAGTCCAAAGGTAAGGCAAAGCGTGGATTGGCTGTCAAGAACACGATAGCTGATCTTCATGTTGCACATTTCAGGTGGTTTTGGCTACTTCACCAAGTTTAGAATGTGGCTTTGCAAAAGACATTTTTATTCGCTGGGCTCCTGATTCCCGGAACAGCATCATTTTTGCTTCAACGACGCAAGAAACATCGTTTGCATCTCGTGTACTGAAGCTTGCAAAGGGCCCGTCAGCAGAAAAAAACATGTCATGTACAGTGAAAGAAAAAGTGTTCTTGGAAGGAGCAGAGCTTGCACTGTATGAAGTAAAGGAACGAAAACGTCTTCGGGCTGAGGCTGAACACAAGGCGAAGGAGATTGAAGAGGCAGCTATGGAAGATATGATGATGGGAATTGAAGACTTTGAATCCGAGTCGGAAGAAGAGGAAGCTACACAGCAAGAAGGTGCGTCGCGAGAGCCGAATTGCGTGGATGTTCTGGTATTTACTCTCAAACTGCAGTTCAACTTCGGGGTACGTTCAAGGTCGGTCTGGGGCAGTTTGCATCGGTCCGGTATCCGATGTTCTTTGCTGTAGAGCCCAAGATAGAGTGGGATGAATATGGAGAGGTTGGTCAATCGGCGCAAAGGTTGCAGTTATGTGCGGCGTGATGCCTTTCTGATATGCACTTGCTGCCGATAGATCATCAATCCCGACGACTACAAGGACGCGTCTCTGTTGGCCAGCCGCCAGGCTCGCCGCAACCTCATCGAGGACGAAGACGGAGATGTGGACATGGACAAATCCAATGAGGAAGCTGCTGTTGAAAGCCGGCCAACTAAAACAATCACAAACGAAGTCGTCGTCAATGTACGAGCTCAGCTGTATCAGATCGTGACATCTATCTGCTGCTTACGATATCTTTCGCTGTACTCAGATTGCTGCCCGCATCGCACAAGTTGACTTTGACGGTGTTGCAGACGGTCGAGCGATTCGAAATTGCTTGGGCAATGTAAAGCCTCGAAAGCTCATTTTGGTTCACGGTACGGAGCAGACAACGAACGAGCTTAAAGAGTTTGTGGAATCGTCAATTCCAATGTGCGAAGCCGTATTTACTCCGAATGTAATGGAATGTATTGATATCGAGTCCGATACAAACGTGTACAAATTGTCGGTGAAGGAGTCGCTGTACACGTCGGCAGTGTTCTGCAAGGTACGGTGATGAATGCATCCACAGTCACCCCTTTAGGTAACTAACGTCGTGCTGATGAACAGGTCGGTGGCCACGAAGTCGCCTATGTTACTGGTCAGCTCGCATTATCGGAGAATAGCTCCGTGCCAGTGCTGCAGCCGCTCAACGAAAACGGCGGCCAGACGGCGCACGATCCAATCATGCTGAGCGACGGGAAGATGAAGCTCGACGTGATGAAGCAGGTGTTGGGCAAGGCGGGCTATCAGGCCAAGTTTCGTGGCGGTATGTTGGTCTGCAATGACGGCGTCGTGCTAAAGCGCGCGATGGATAATGAGATCGTGATGGAAGGCACGTTGTCGAGGAGCTATTACCGCATCCGAGCGCTGTTGTACGAGCAGTACACGCTCGTGTAGGTTCCAACACGCGCTAGTCAATTCTCAAAACACGATGCCCGAAAAGTATCAAATCTGCAGACTCGAGTGATTTCTCACCACCAGCATTTTACGACCTCGCACTGTCAACTTTGTCAAATACACAAAACAACAAGTCGCAAGCCTCTGACTCGACTCCTTCCAAACCTCTACTTAGCAATAGTCCACTCTTTTATTCCAACTCACGCGACTTGGCGTGTGAGTGGCTCAGTTCGGTTCCAAGGATGTTGGCGCTCCAGCGACAAGCAGCGCTGCAACTGTCTCGCTTCTCCACTACAGCAGCTGCTACTGCTGCTGCCAGCACCGTCGAGAGTCCGTCCAACGTGCTGCAGCTGCTAGTGCGCGACGCAGACGGTTCACGCGCGTCTCGACGTTTGCGCAAACAGGGCTTCCTGCCTGGTGTGCTCTACGGGGAGGGCGAGGACGGCAAGGACGAGCGCGTGCTGGTGTCGTTCCCTACCCGCGCTTTCCAGCGCATGCACCGCAAACTCTGGACGTCCATTGAGAACCAGGTGTTCCAGGTGCAAGTGGAGGAGCAGCCGCCTGTCAAAGCTTATATGCGGGACGTGCAGCTGGATCCCGTCACGGACGTGCCACTTGCTGTCAACTTTTTGCGCTATAAACCCGGACGGGTCGTGTCCATTCCGATCACGTACTTGAACGAGGAAGGCAGTCCCGGTCTCAAGCGTGGAGGTTTTATCAACCACATTTACCACGCGCTCGAGTGCACGGTTTCGACGGACGATGTTCCAACCACCTTGCAGATCGACGTCAATGGGCTGCACGTGGGGGGACAAGGTGTTCCTGGAGGCCATCACGTTCCCGGAAGGAGTCGAGCCGAACGTTCCCGAGGGATGTCTGGTCGCTAAAATTGCCGGTCGTCGGGGTCTCATCCCTCGTGTGGAGCCGGTGATCGAGGAAGTCGTGGAGCAGAAGGAAGCAGATGACGACGAAGACGAGTTCGACGACTGGAATGACATTTTCTAGACATGTTTACAGGAGACAGGGATGAGTGAAGGAGAACAGAGACGGTCGGTGGAATGGCTTGGAATCGCTGCTGTTGCTGCTTGTGTTGGACCTTACTGCGTGGTGGGGCTCTGTTCTCGCTGTCGAAGCATTTAAATAGACCCCGATCGTCCGTTCATTTTATGCCGACCCTGACTGGAGCTCGCGATCCGCTGCGGCCATGTGCTGGTTGGTATCTACTCGGGGGGCGCTGCTCCGCCGGTCGCTCCTGCTGTCCTCGGTTCGAAGAACGACGCTGTATCGGGCAACGCCTTCTCGCTCTTCTCCTGATCTGTCCTCATCCTTTTACTCCCACCACTACCATCCGCATGCACGAGCTTCACGTCTGGAAAGTCTGGACGCAGCCAATCCAGCGACGCCGTTGTCTGAATCGTGCGCGTCACATCTGATGCCTTGATCTGCCGTTTGTTGCGGTACATTGCCTGTTCATAGCTCTTTGTGCCTAGAAACTGAGCAAATAGCTCCTGCAGCAACAAGACCGAGTCAGCACAATTGCCCCATTACTCCCGTGTAGCTGCCGGGTGGTAGTTCGTTCACTAGCGTCCGTACTGCTGCCTTTGCGATCGCCACCAGCGCGTCCTTCGAGACTTTGCCCATGTCTGGGTCGCTCTGCACGATCTTCCTCACTCTCGCCAGTGGGTACACACAAGCACAACGGGATTGTAGCACGTCCTTCGCTTCTTCCGAGGGCTCCTCTTGAACCTCAGCCTTGTCCTGTAGCTCCCGTTGATACCGCGCCTTGTCGTTGACCGCCATTTGCACAAAGACCTCCTTCTCCTCGGACGTGAGCGCCTGCCACTGCACGCTGATGACCTTCTGGATGTCACCGATGCGAGCGCCCGGATGCTCGTCCATCACCTGCTTGCGCTTCTCATGGCAGAAGTGCAAGTACGAGCTCTGCGGTTTCTTCACACGCGCCATTGTCTCGCAACAAAGTCGTGTTCAATTCAAGAATGAGTCAATTGAGTCGATGAAATGAGTCAATTAAGTCGATGAAATGAGTCAATTAAATCGATCAAATGATGAATTGAGGTGTCACTATTTGATGCCTCGATTGTGTCCATTGCCAAAGGACACCTTTTGTCAGCTGTCTGTTTTTGTCTCGATGTGCCCCATTACAGTGTGAAAGTCTCAACTGAACCACATCTCTCGACATGGGCGGCAGCGGCAGCAAAAGTGCCGAGACGTCTAGCAGTACGCAGCAAGCGCCGTCCAAAGCCGCCTCTGTGAAGGACGAGGTGCTGGGCCTCGTGCTGGACGGCTTGATGCTCTACACCATCTACCAAACGTCCAAGTACCTCTACAAGGTGAGCTGACGTTTTGCTTGGTCCACGCTATCTCTCCTCGAACTGTATGGTCAGGTCCCTCCTGAGTTCACAGTAGTCTCTATGGTGCACAGCAAGCGAAGCCCATGCTCGACGACTGGAACAAGGGTCAGGACAGTCAAGCCAAGCTGAAGAATCGCCTGCAGCGCACTGGACGCCGTGCCTTCAGCACCAACTACTTTGAGAACGTCATTGCTGGCGACATCGTGGACCCACAAGACATTGACGTGTCGTTTGACGACATTGGCGGTCTAGAGCGCCAAAAGCGCGACATCCACGATCTCGTAGTGCTGCCGCTGCGAAGTCCCGAGTTCTTTGCGTCTCGTGGGACCCTGCTCACAGTTCCCAAAGGCATTTTACTTTATGGAAAACCCGGCACTGGTAAGACCATGTTGGCAAAGGCTATTGCGAAAGAGTCTGGTGCTTTTTTCATTAATCTCAAGATTAGTACTATCATGAGCAAGTGGTTTGGCGAATCGCAGAAGCTCGTGCGCGCTGCATTTACGCTCGCTCGGAAGTTGGCACCGTGTATCATTTTTATTGATGAAGTGGACTCGTTCATGGGAATCCGAGGTGGCGTATCTGACCCGACGTTTTCATCAATGAAAACGGTGAGTATTGCGGTTGGATTTGTGTGATGGGTATTGTGTAGGCTGTGTTAATCTGACCTGCTGCTTACCTTGTTGTTGCTGTAGGAATTCTTGGCATTGTGGGATGGTTTTACTGAAATGAGCAACGAGAATGATGGTGGTTTTGGTGTCATTATTATGGGTGCGACAAACCGTCCTGGTGACGTGGACCCAGCCTTTCTTCGCCGCATGCCTCGCACGTTTGAGATTGGACTACCTAACCGACCACAGCGTGAAAAGATACTTCGGCTGCAGCTTAAGACGGAGCAAGTAGACGACGAATTTGATTTCAACAAGCTCGCCATTGACACTGTATATTATAGTGGTAGTGATTTAAAGGAGTTGTGTCGCGCCGCCTTAATGATTCCACTTCGTGAACATATTGACAATTGCCGTGCGGCAACAGAAGAAGCTGCAAAGGGTCGACATGCTGAAGACGAAAAGCCCCAGATTTACGATGAAGCTGCTCGGCCCGAGCCCCCTGCAATGCGTCCACTGTTGATGGTTGACTTTGACGAAGCAAGAACAATGGTGCAACCAACAGGTGCGACAGCATATGCGTACGAAAACGGGCACGAGAAAAAGCCCTCTCGGCAAGCGTCCACCGACCCCGGGATATCCATCGACCCGGACATGTTCGCGGCGGTTATGGCTGCAGGACTGCAGAGCTTAATGCAGCAGAGTCATAACGTCACACCGGCTCACGATTAGGTTGGTGAGGAGGCAAAAGCTGGCTAGATGAATAAACGCTTTCTGAGTACAAACTCGTTTCGCTGTGCCTGCGGGTCCACTTGTGCGACGCCAAGCAGTTCTGGTGAGGAACGGCTGTAAATGCGAATGGGCTTGCCACTGATGAGGCTGTAGTGCTTCTTTTTCGCACAGTTGATCTCGTCTGCCGGGACAGCCACAACACCGCCATTCAGCCAGCGTTGGACAGTAGACTGAGGCAACTCCGCGAACGGAAGATGCTGCAACATGCTTTCCATCGGTCGAAGCGGGACGTCTCCTTTCTGTCGTAAAACAAGAGATAAGACGTATCACAGATCTGTCGCACCATACCACGTTCAATGCAGTGCGCGTACCTCCGCTTTCGCTCGAATCTCATCCAAACTCAGACTATCGGCGATGGAGAAGACGCCACTACGAGTCCTCTCCAGCTTCATAAGCGTGCCTCCAACACACAAATCACCGGCAGGGTTGCGTAAATCGTAGGATGAGTCTATTTGCTCGGGCGGAACCACCAACGCCTCGCCACATTCACGTGCAATTGACCTGATGTACGTGCCTCCTCCACAATCAACGCGGATCTCAACCTGCCACCAGCCACTTAGCTTCTTTCCCTCTCCCCAACAACACGCACAGACGTATCTCGAGCTGCTAACGAACGCACCTCTGGAAAATCTCCCTGCGTGAACTTCTCGACGTCAATGTGCTCAATATACACTCGTCTCGACGGGACACTGAATTCCTACACGATACGAAACAACAAGCCAGCACCAGTACCAGCTTGTTCTCGTCAGCTCCTCTGCTGTCACTTCATCGTTCCTCGACTAACTCTCTTCCTATCAATCCTTTCCTTGTTCGCTCTCGCCAATTTATACATCCTCACGCCATTTTTCTTGATAGCACTGACCCGTGGAGGCACTTGGTCAATCGGTCCAATGAACCTGCAACAAGTCAGCCGTCCATCAGCTCCGTCTTCTATAGCACGTTCCTCTTGCTCCACCTCCTCCTCCTCCTTCCTCCCCCACCCCTCATCAATGTACCTCTGCAAAACCCTTTGCACCGCTTCTTCCGTGACCCATGGAACCGCATGTCGCGTCAATATTTCGCCCGTAACGTCGTCCGAGTCGGTCGTCACTCCCAGTCGAATCACGCCTCGGTACTCCTTCCCCGTCGTCAGGAACTGCAGAAAGCGCGTGGCTCGGCCCACAGCAACCGTCAAAACTCCCGTCGCCATCGGATCCAGCGTCCCGCCGTGTCCGACCCGTCGTCGTGCATCCAACGCTCGGCGTATCGTCCCCACGCATTGCTGCGACGTCAGCCCCGCAGGCTTCCGCACGTTCAAAAACCCACTCGGTGTCATGCTTCGAGAGTGAAGGTCGTTTTGAGTGGCATGGGGAGTCTGCTGATTGGCTGCTTGGCGACCAATCAGAGCGTGGGCAGAAACGGTCCGCGCAGTTAGAATGCATGAAAGTGCTCAACGTCGCGGAGAAGCCGTCGGTGGCCAAGGAGATTGCCGCGATCCTGTCCTCTGGTCGCTCCCAGCGTGTGTGTTGTGTATCCGCTTGTCACATAGCTAGCTATCTGCATAAAGTGATGACTGCTGATGCTTTGTGCTGTCGTGTTTGCTACAGCGCGCTGGATTCTCCAAGTACAATGCGCTCTTTGACTTTCCGTATCAGATTCGAGGGCAGCAGGTTCAGATGGTGGTCACGTCTGTGACGGGGCACATGATGGAGCTGGACTTTGATCCGAATGTCCGGAGCTGGTACTCGTGCGATCCGGTGGAGCTCTTTAGTGCTCCAGTGACCAAGAGAATACGCAACGACGAGACCCAGAAGAAGATCGAGCAGACGCTGTTGAAGGAAGCCAAGCAGAGTCAGGTACAGTCAGAACGACGTTCATCTAGCACTGTCTGTTTTTGAGATAGCGACAATGTGATGAACTGACGCCGTCTACTAACGTCGGCAAAATGCAGTGGCTGGTGCTATGGCTGGATTGCGATCGCGAGGGTGAGAACATCGCCTACGAAGTCAAGAGCATCTGTGAAAAGTCCAATCGGCGCCTGCGTGTCTTCCGCTCCCATTTTTCGGCTCTAATACCTCGCGATATCATTTACGCAGTGCAACACTTGTCAGAGCCCAATGAAAAACTCTCACTTGCAGTTGACGCTCGATCGGAAATTGATTTAAGAATCGGCGCAGCATTCACAAGATTTCAGACAATGCGCATTCAAAGCAAATTTCCCACACTCAAGCGGGATAGGAGTGTCATTAGCTACGGTCCGTGCCAATTTCCTACACTAGGTTTCGTTGTTGAACGATATCTCATGGTACAGAATTTTGAACGCGAGACATTTTACTACATTAGCGTAACACACCAGCAAAACGAGCACGCGGATGCAGCGATGACGACTTTTGAGTGGAAGCGCGAGCACCTTTTTGACCGCATGGCGTGTTTGTGCATCTACGAGGATCTGTTGGATAGCCAAGCAGCAATAATCGAGTCGGTTGATAAGCGCATTTCTTGGAAACGGAAGCCGCTACCGCTTACGACAGTGGAGCTGCAGAAACGAGCGTCGCGGTGGTTACGGATCTCGTCGGAGGCAACGATGAAGGCAGCAGAAAGTTTGTACAATAAGGGTTTAATTAGCTACCCCCGAACGGAGACGAGCGCATTCAAAACAGGCACGGATCTTATGGGCTTAGTGCGGCTGCACGAAAATCATCATCAGTGGGGAAATTACGTGACAGGTCAGCTTTTGGACGGAGGGAAATACGACGCGCCCCGTCATGGAAACTCCGACGATCAGGCACACCCGCCAATTCATCCGACCAAAAGTGTTGATACGAATACGTTGTTAGATCCAAACGAGAAGAAGGTGTATGAATTTGTCGCTCTTCATTTCTTAGCGTGCTGTAGTCGGGATGCCAAGGGTTACCAGACAAATGTCGTGGTGAAAATGCTGGGCGAATACTTTACCGCATCCGGGCTCATGGTGGAGGAACGTAATTATTTGGACATCTATAAATATGAGAAATGGAGCGCATCCGCGATTCCCGTTTATCGGCAAGGGGACGTGTTCCGACCGTCAGCGGTTGTGATGCTATCTAAGGAAACGAACCCGCCACCGCTCTTGTCAGAGGCCGATCTGATCTCGAAAATGGATTCAAACGGGATCGGGACAGACGCTACCATTGCTGAGCACATTAAAACTATTTTGAAGCGTGAGTATGCCATCAAGGTGAACAACAACACCCAGTTCAAACCTACAACATTGGGGCTGGCGCTAGTTTTGTCGTACGAGCACATGGGCCTCGAGTTGGCAAAACCGAAACTTCGTGCAGCAGTAAGTTTGATCTTGAACTGATTATGCAGGCTGTCTTACTGACTGCTATCTTGCTTGAGTTTAGATGGAGAACGACTGCAAGTCAATTTCGTTAGGACAAAAACATATGAGACAAGTGGTGCAGTCGTGCATGGATCAGGTAATAGCGATTCGTATCTCTCCGGCACGTAACGTGTTGACACCACTGATTTGCTTGTGCACAGATGAAAAGCATCTTTATAAAAGTCACGCGCAGTGCTGCTGTGCTGGACCAGACTTTTTCAGAACACTTTGGCCTAGCTGTGAACAACCAAGTTGCGAACGGACAGGCCGTGCCACTGCGGGGTGAGCAGCGAGCTGCTTCAGCCAGCGAACCAACTCTTTCCTCTAGGGCAGAAGTGATACCTCAAAGCTCTGCTTGTACCAATACAGCAGTTGCAGGCCCACGGGCTGGTGGAAATACCGACAATACGAACCAAACAGGACGGCAAGCAACCACACGAAGTCAACAACGATCGCCCAGCCATCCCCAGGCACAGAACCGATCACAACATGCATCAAGCATGTCTGCAAGCGTACCCCGATGCACTGACCACGGTTTACCGTGCCTCGAAAGAGAAGTCACTCGGGACGGGCCAAATACAGGACGCATGTTTTACGTCTGCCCGCTGCCTCAAGGGGAAAAGTGCAATTTTTTTGCTTGGGTATCCGGGTCCGACCCGAGCAATGCCCCTGCTGTGAAATGTCCTGGTCACAACGAACCGTGTGCCGAGAGAACAGTCGCAAAAGACGGTGTGAACAAGGGACGGCAGTTCTACACGTGTCGGCGTAGCCAAACTGACAACAGCTGCGGGTTCTTTCAGTGGAAAGATGAGGTTGTTGAGACGTCCGGCAGCTCAGCGACACAGCATGCTGGCATATTGGACACTACCCCACGGTGTTCCGGACACAGTGTCACTTGCGTCCTGCGCAGAACTAAAAAGGTTGGTCCAAACCAAAACCGTGAGTTTTATTCTTGCAGTCTCGAGGGGACAGAGAGCTGCGGGTACTTCAAGTGGAAAGACGAAACGGAGCCGCGCCTTCGGCAGACCACATCGTCTTCAATGCTGCGTCCAGAAGGCAGCGTAGGTAATACCGGGTTGCCTGTGTGTGGATGCAGCTTGCCTGGCGTCTTACTGGTGTGTAAGAACGGAGCAAACAAGGGCCGGACCTTTTACAAGTGTCCCAATCCGCAGGGAAGCCAATGCGATTTTTTCCAGTGGGGGTCGTAGAGTCTCGTACGCTCGGTAATGGGACCTTGTGATTTGGCATGTCGCGACCACCAATCATCCGACACAGCCCTCTTCAAAAAGACGTATCATGGTCTAGTCCATTGACGGCCTCCATCATGGCCGCCACAACTGGTTGCATCGTTGTCCTCTGTCGTATCTTGGGTTCTTGTCGGTCGCTCAAGAAGAAGCACGCGCCCAATGTGGCCACCTCGCTGTCTTCCTCGTTGTCCATGCGATCCGCGCACTGCAGCAGATCCTCCGCAATGTCCACGACGTCGCCGTCTCGTCTGATCTCCTGCTTGAGCGCCATGTACTGGACCAGCTGCTGTCTGGAATCGGTGAGCTCCAAAATGCGCTTCATCGCGTCGATCCGCTGCTGCATCTCGTTCTCCGCCACCTGCATCGCGTTCTCAATGGACGAGACGCGCTGTAGATAGTGCTGACGCTCCAGTCTGCCCAAGTCCGTAGCTGCCGACTGCTCGTGTCCCGTACCAGTGACTTCTTCCCCTGCCACAACAGGAGAGCACGGCTGGTCTCCGAACAGCGCTTCCGTCAGACTCGTCTCCACCACGTGACGCTGGATCTGCGTCTCCAGGTCGACAGACGCACTGAGGTCCAGGTCATTGTCGCTGTATACGCCACTTGTGTCCAGCTGGAGGAACGTGTCCATTTTATCGAGTAGTGGGATGCACGGTGTTTCTTTCCAGAGGTTTCGATTGAATCGATAAGGACCTACGTTTTAGAGCGGGTCTGCGTACACACAGCTCGAATGCAGCTCCCTATTCAGCAGGCAGCCCCCCCTAATACGATCTACTGTCATGTATTTTGGAGATACAAATACCAGATCGGTCTGCCATGCGATCCGTCAAATAGGGCCGACTTCGTTGGATAGAAACAGACACGCTAACGTTTCTAATGCGATCACTTGAGCGTTTGATGGTGAGCCCGAAGGGTGAGCTGAGTGCAAGGTGAAGGCCGAACTTTTTGCTTCGTAATTATCCGTGTGTGTAAATCACAGATAGTTCCGATTCAATGCCTAACATTCACAAGGACGAGTACTCGATGCAGAATCAACGGTGCCTGGCATTGACATAGAAGCTGGCAGCATGCCGCACGTCGACGGAGGACACACTCTCACCGGTGAGGGGGAGTGTTGGAAAGTGGTATTCCGTACATAGCTGGGCACTGGAAAAATACGTCGGTGATCTGCCAGATGGTGCTAGACGGGTCCGTATATGAGGTAGATCTAGGATGTTCGATGCGTAGGGTAAACGTGTGGCAGCGGAAGAGGCCGCTACGCTGAGAGATCTCACTTTGCGATCCATTGAGGATTTCCGGCCGAAAAGCGTCTGGCACGCTTCTGTAAGTAAAGCATTTACTTTTATGTGTTCCTGATTTCCTACACAGCGTGCGCAACTTTCTGTTCATAGCACGCACTTGCGACACTGCCTCAACTTTCTGGCACGCGATACATTACAGTACACAACTGTCCTGCAGGCGTTATAAGCACAGCCCATTGCGTGTTCGATTGCTGAATAGAGCAATAGTTTTGATACGCCCTTTTTTGGATCAAGTGTAGAGGGATTACACATCATAGGGTACTCGGTTTCCAGCGTCTTAGACACACAAGATGGTATCCCACTGAACGGGATATAGAATACCTTATCGTTTTATAGGGGCTGACGGGTGTTAGCCACAAGATAGGAAAGATACTAAAGATATCAATTGAGGACATGAGTGCCTAGATTAGGTACTACTGGGATCAAGACATGCGGTAGAGTTAAACGTAAATAAAGTCCAGTTCCCCTTTAGATCTTGTCGACGACACGTGCCTTGCTAGGCGTCTCTGATCGTTCGTTAAGAGCTAGCAACACCTCCCTGAGGTAGCTACTCTTGAGCACTAAGTGCTGTAGATTCACTGAATCGTTCGATTCCCTGGAACAGGTACCTTAAGCTTTACGCTTGTTGACTCATACAGTCTTGTAACGGGGCACCCTGAAGCTTGTACTGGTGACAGCACAAGCTACTTATTCTGATGACAGAATAAGGCGGTGCCTCGTAACTTCACGTACACTCGTATGTGCAGAGGAAGACGGTAAGAAGAAGCGAGTACTTGGTTAAAGTAAAAAGTGGAACTGCATTTATAATAGTCAATGTCTGTTAATAAATCACTATTTATCCTCATCTAACTATGTCTGAATACAAATGTGCATATCAACTATCTGCTCACCACTCATTGCGTGCGTCTGTCGTGGCGCGTCTTCGTTGGTTGATATAATGGCCTATATCAACCAATTAGCAACTACTCGTAAGTGCTACAGAATATTTGTCCTTATGACAATATTCTGAGAATATAACTCTTTTAGTTATATTCTACTAAAAATTTCTTATAAATTGTTATGTAACGATTCACCCCGTTACATCACCCCCCCCTTAACCATCAGTCACTTTAGTGACTGATTGACTAAATGTATACTCGTCCCAAATCATTTGAGACGGGGTTTGCACTTGTTGGTCCGAGTCCACTTTCCAACATTTCATCGCATGGTTAACAAGCCCATGCGATGCGCGAGCAAGGCCGCCGAGAGCGCGTCCGCACGTCTCTGTGCGGACGCCGAAGCAGAAACCACAGCAACTGATGTCTCATCGGTTGCTGAAGCGACCCAGCCTGTGTCACTTGGTGATGCAGGCGCTGGTCATGAAGACACTCATGTCTTCACAGAGTGTGAGCTCGGTGTCTCATACTCTCCTGGTACGGAAGACGGATCCGTATCGACGGCAAATGAATCCAAGCCGCCTGCCAAGCGTGGCATGGACGATGCTTAGCGTCGCAGCATCTTTGGTTCATCTGATGAATCAGATGAACCATCGCCGAAGCGAAGGCGCTCGAGGTCGCGAGACTCGGGCGCTAACAGTGGTGTCGGTTCTCCTATGGACACCACTTCGCAACGAGGTGCCAGTACTTCTGTCGGCACGTCGCAGGAAGAGCGGGACCGCAATGTCTTGTGTCTCGCTCCCGAGAAGAAGGCATGGATGCCTCCCAAATCTGTCATGGATCACTTGTCGGCGACGACGAGTGATCGTTTTCGAACACGATTGTTCGATTCTGTTGACGGTCATCGGTTTCTACCAGTATTGGTAACCGTGACCGGTCCAATCCGAACCGCCTGTTCAGCTTAGTATTTACGGCGGAGTTCTTACAGGTAATTACGTCATAGTTGATTAGACGAGTAGGATGATGAGACGCTTCACATGATTTATATGTGAACCACATATAAATCATGTAGTAAGTAGTAAGCCCCGATAATCAATCACTTTCAAATCTTCCATCTACCCCCCAAGTGTCTTCTCCGGTCTTCCGAGTGGACTCCCAGCATCACTCCCAGTTTCGGTCGTCAAGCTTTTCACCATTCAACAGGTTATGAGCCCAAGTACGATGTCCACTGCTCATGATGCCACCACCAAGATCTCCATTGATAAGTTCGATGGGGACAACTACGCGACTTGGAGCCGCTACATGCGTGGCGTGTTCCTGACCAAGTCGGCGTGGCACGTGGTCAACCGGGAGACCACCCCCCACCTTCGCCGATCCTCGCGCCAGTGACGACTACGTCAAGTCGAGCAACATCGCGTTTGGACTGATGTTGCTCCACATGGACGCGGACTATCATCACGTGGTTGATGATTGTGAGGAAGCATGGGTCGCATGGGCGCGTTTGAAGACGCTTTACGGTGGATCGCAGAAGGCTGGGCGCATCTTTCTGAAGCGCCAGCTGTTCAGTATGGAGATGAAGGAAGGCGGCAATGTGATGCATCATTGCAACGAGGTTCTCAACATCAGCGCAAAGCTGGCTAGCATCGGCGCCAAGATGTAGGACGAGGACGTTGCGATCTGCTTACTGCGCAGTCTGCCCAAGAGTTTCGAGAACGTGGTTCTCAACTTGGAGATGAACAGCGCTGAATTACGATCAAGAGACGTTGTGAGGGTGCTTACGAATGAGCACATCAAGAGGCAAGGCGAGAAGACGGCATCGGTGAAAGCTGAAGACGCGGCTAAGGCTTTCAGCACCGAGCGCGAGCCTCGCCAGTGTACGTACTGCGGAAAATTGGGGCACACGGCAGAGCGGTGCTGGACCAAGCAGAAGGATGAGAATCAAGGTGCTCGACGCGGCGGTAACAACCGAGGACGCGGAGCCAACAATGTGCAGTGGCAAACCAGCAGCAACTACGACGACGATTACGATCGAGTAGCGTTTGCGGTTTCGCTGGAAGCAGGACTATCGACGGGCAAGAGTATGCCTGGAATGTGGGCGGTTGACAGCGGCGTAACGCACCACATCTGCAACGACAAGGCCAAATTTGCAAGTCTCGACGAGCGAGATGAAGGTGAACTGTTGGTGGCTGACGGCAACAAGGCCGCAATCAAGGGTGTGGGAACCATCATCGAACGAGTGGTTCTGCCCAACGGCGAAGAGCGCGACATCGAGATCAAGGATGCGTTGTTCGTGCCAACCATGAACAAGAATCTGCTATCGGTGCCGCAGATCAACAAGAGTGGCAAGTTTCAAGTGGTGTTCGACGGTTCCACGATGCATGTGGCACGCAAGAACTCGACACAAGTGGTGGCAACGGCGGACCTCGTCGATGGACTTTACTGGCTTCGCACGCCACAACGTTCGGCAAATGCAGCAACACGCAATGGGACCATCGATCTGCACGCGCGCATGGGTCACGCGCCACTTGATGTTCTTCGCAAGATGGTGACCAGTGGCATGATCAAGGACGCAAAGGCACCTCTCAACTCGACTGGTCCAAGTGTATGCCGCGGATGCCAGCAAGGGAAAATGGTCCAGAAACCGTTCCCGAGCAACCGTGACAAGCGCCAATATGGTGTGTTCGAGTTGCTGCACTTCGACATCTGTGGCCCGATGGAAGAAGTCTCAATCGGCGGCAGCAGATACTTGCTGTTGATTGTGGACGAAGCTAGTGGGTGTATGAAGGGCTTCTGTTTGCGAGCCAAGTCTGAGAGTGAAGACTGTATCAAGAACCACATTATCAAGATTCAAACTCAGTTCGGCACGAAGATCAAGTTTGTTCGGCACGATGGAGCGCATGAGTTTGCGACCAACTCCATCAAGACCTTCTACGAAGATCATGGTATCGAACAACAGATCACGGTGCCGTATGCACACCAGAACAACGGCACCGCAGAACGCGCGATAAGGACCATCGTCACGATCGGACGCAGCTTGTTGCATCATGCAAAGCTGGAGAAGTGTTTCTGGGCTGAAGCGGCAATGACGGCGATCTACATCAAGAACCGCCTGCCTTCACCCAAGATCGACCACAAGACTCCGTTCGAGATCGTGTACAAGTCGAAACCAAGTGTCAAGCACATGCGCGTGTTTGGATGTCGGGCGTTTATCCTGACACCAAGGGAGAAGCGATTGAAGTGGGACCCGAAGGCTCGTGAAGGGATGTTCATGGGCTACGAAGAAGCGTCAAAAGCTTATCGAGTGTACGACATTGAGGCGGGCCAAGTGGTGATCAGTCGTGACATCACCTTCGACGAATCGACTTTTGACTTTTCGATGGACCGACCAAGTGACGATGATGAAGATGCGGAGTTGGACCTCGACCTCCTGGCGATCAACGAGGACGACGTGCGTCAAACCGTCTACAAGCAGACTGGCAAGCGCAAGAGTGAAGCAAGACCCGGCATGTCACGTTCAGCTCGCCCTCGAACTGGGTTGGAACAAGCAAGTGCGCCGGAACACGTCTCCAACCGTCACCAGAAACGACGATCAAGTGCTCCAGAAACGATGTCTGATGACGAAGAAGATGCAAGCGTCTACGATGAAGATAGCGACTCGACTCCTCCAATGTTTTGGCGAGCAAGTGCCAACGCAGTTGAAGCAACGGACCTAGCAGAACCTGTGACTTTTCAAGACGCGATCAATGGTCCTGATCAAGCTCACTGGCGAAATGCTGTGAAGGCGGAACTCAAGTCGATGCAACTTCGTGGAGTATTTCGTGCGGCAAAATTGCCGAGCAACCAGCGCGCCATCGGTACCAAGTGGGTGTTCAAGATCAAGCGCAAAGCGGATGGATCGATCGAGAAGTACAAGGCGCGTCTTGTTGCCAAGGGCTTCAAGCAGAAGTACGGCATCGACTACACGGAGACATTCTCACCAGTGGTCAAGTATGTGACGCTGCGCATGGTGGTCGCGATCACCAAGTACTTCGACTGGCCTCTGGACCAACTTGACGTGGTCACAGCTTTTCTCTATGGTGTGATGAAAGAAACGGTGTACTGCGCGGTTCCAGAAGGCGTCGAATTGGACGGAGACTTCAACTGCCTCGAGTTGGTGAAGGCAATCTACGGTCTCAAGCAAGCTTCTCGTGTATGGAACGAGACCTTCGACGAGTTTGTTTGCTCCATCGGTTTCCAAGTTTCGGCCTTCGACCCATGTCTCTACATCAAGATTGTGGACGGTCACTGCGTACTGCTGCTGGTCTACGTGGATGACGTGTTGGTGACAGGAAGCTCACCCAAGTTGATTGCACACACCAAGGACGACCTCAAGACGCGCTTCGAGATGACCGACAGTGGCAAGTGTGCTTTTGTGCTGGGCATAGAACTGGTCGAAAACGCTGACAGCGTGACGATGTGCCAGCGACGCTATGTGGATGACATTCTGAAGCGCTTTGGGATGGAAGACTGCAAGGCCACAGCAAGTCCGGTCGACTTGAGCACTCGGCTTGTCGCAAGCACCGAAGCGGCCAAGATCGACGTTCCGTTTCGTGAAGCAGTTGGTGCTTTGATGCATCTGACTACTGCGACGCGCCCGGACATTGCATATGCTGTGGGTTATGTGTCGCGCTTCATGGAGAATCCCCAGCAAGAACATTGGACGGCGGTGAAGCGCATCTTTCGTTACTTGCAAGGGACCAAGTCGCACGGACTCCGCTTCCAGCCAAGCGACAAGATCGACTTTCGCGGATATTCTGATGCGAACTGGGCCGGCGACCATGCTGATCGCAAGTCAACTTCGGGTTACGCGTTCGTACTTCTCGGTGCACCCATAAGTTGGGGAAGCAAGAAGCAGTCAAGCGTGTCACTGTCGACAAGTGAAGCGGAATACATCGCGCTAAGTCTGGCCATCCAGGAAGGCAAGTGGGTACATCGTCTGTTGTGCGAGATTTTGGCGGCCGCAAACGAACCAGGACCGGACCTCGTCATCCGTGAAGACAATCAATCGTGCATCAAGATGACGAATAATCCTGTCAACCATGGCCGTGCCAAGCACGTCGACATCAAGTACCATCACATCCGTGATGAGGTCTAGCGCGGCCAAGTCAAGCTCAAGTACTGTGAGACTACGGTGATGTTAGCAGACATCATGACCAAGGGACTTCCGGGACCTCGTCACAAGGACTTAACGGCTGCACTCGGTATTCATGCGAGTTTGCATTGAGGGGGCGTGTTGAGGGTTACCGGTACAATCCAAACTCTAAAGCTTAGTATTTACGGCAGAGTTCTTACAGGTAATTACGTCATAGTTGATTAGACGAGTAGGTTGATTAGAAGATCCCTGATTTATATGTGGACCACATATAAATCAGGTAGTAAGTAGTAAGCCCCGATAATCAATCACTTTCGAATCTTCCATCTACCCCCCAAGTGTCTTCTCCGGTCTTCCGAGTGGACTCCCAGCATCACTCCCAGTTTCGGTCGTCAAGCTTTTCACCATTCAACAGATTCGTCAAGGATCCATCACCTTGACCCCAGCGCGAAAAACTATCGCGCTGAAAATGAATTCTTCATCGATGCTTTCTTTAGACATCGATGGTACAGTGGGAATCACAAGCGTGATGGTCCCTCACTACTTCAAGCGTGGAACGCCTACATCCATAACCTTGAGGATGTAGGTCGTGACGCTTGGAACGACAAACTTATCAAAGCTCGTGATAAGTTTGAAAAGCGAACCCCGACAGGTGCACGCTATAAGCTGCATCGTCTGTCAAGGGAGAAAGGATTACCCTGCCTCTCATGGGGAGACTCGTGCCCATGTTGTGTGAACAACTCTGCACGAGCACCTAAGGAGGCTTACCTCCTTACCAGCCTGTGGTGGCGCGTACGTATCTCTACTGAGATGTACGAAGGGATTGACAACTTGAAATCTCTTTACGACCGTGCCGGGAAGACTTTCTCCGGCGGTCCTTCTGCGGCACAGGATGTGCCGCGTCGTACTGCTCAACCAGACCCAGTACGTCGATCATCAGTTAAGAGCGGGGCTCCCAAGTATCCCAGGACGGGGGATAGCCGCGCCACCGGACGAGGTAACTCGTCCGACGTCCGTTCACGTCGCGGTGGTTCAACAGCTGCTCAACTAGATAGCGCTGGCCACCGCGAGAACCTCTAATGGAGGTGGAGGAGGAGGAAAGACGCTCTCCACACGATCGTGGGGATCCGTGTGTTCCCGAGAGCTTCTTTTGATCGCGTAACGCAAGGGTTACGCGGCGATCTCGAACATGAGCGGGACAGGCGTCTCCAAATGGCGGACACTGTCTTGAAGCATCGAGCTGAGTTTGCCTTTGCTCAGCTTGAGAACGAGAGAGCTCTGACATCTCTTCGTGACGAGCTAAGGGTAGCTCATGGGATTGTTGATCGGTCTCGGGATGAGATAACTGCTCTTCAGACCCTTGTCGATGCCCACCATCAGGAGCACAAGGCTCTCTGCGAGATGCTTGAGCGCAAGGGCGTTCTTCATCGGAAGAAGCAGCGTACTGATGGTACGGCTTAAGCCGACCAACGTAAAACGTGGGATGCGTTCGCATCTTACGTGGCAACTCGATCGTGTATGCATTGCCTAGGCGATGCAATACACGAAATGGGCCGATGTACTTGGGTAGTAGTTTACTGCTACCCAAGTTAGTCACTACATGCTTTGGTAGATTAACCGTAGACAGTAGGACTAAGTCACCTTTATTAAATAAAAGAGTGTTTGCCCTTCCATTCTTGTCAGCGTTTTGCTTTTGCTTATCCACCGCTTCGGCGATGGAGTCTTGCACAAAACGGACTACCGTTTCACGAGCCAGTATGAACTCATCTGATGACTCGTTAGCTTCAGTGCGCTGTGAGTGCACTGCAGCAACATCAATCTTTTCTTCAGTGAGGGCTTCCGCACTCTCACTGGCATCATCTTCTTCGATATCGATGTTATCGATATCGACATCAAACGCAATGACCTCTTCGTCAGAGCGTGATGAGAGTGAACCAAATCGTTTTTTGCTCGCGCGAGTCCCTCCCCCCCCTTAAACCAGAGTTACACTCAAGTAAGGTGGGTACACGCGGATGGCGTAAGCCATTCACGTAAAACGGTGTATGTGTCGTGGACGCATGCACCGAGTTGTTAATGGCAAACTCTACCATTGGCAAAAACTCACTCCAACTCTTAAAGGAGTGTACGTATCCTCGAAGTATCTCTTCGAGGACACGATTGGCACGTTCCGTCTGACCATCTGACTCTGGATGATCAGATGTCGACATCTTCAAGCGCGTTCCGAGTGATTTGAACACGGAGCGCCAGAAATCAGCTGTGAATCGTGGATCTCTGTCTGATACAAGTTCACGGGGCAACCCATGAAGTCGGAAGATGGTTTCAATAAAGACACAAGCACAGCCACTTGCCGTGATTGTCTCTGGTACAGCCACAAGGTGTACCATTTTGCTGAATCTGTCAACAAATACGAGAATACCCGTATTCCCGCGTGCGTCTTTGGGTAACCCGAAGACGAAATCCGTTGAGATGGATTCCCAGCACTCAGCCGGAACCGGTAGAGGCTGTAAAGGTGCACGCAGTGAAGGACTTGACTTCACTCGTTGACAGACTTCGCATGCGCGAACACACTTTCACACAAACTGATACTGGCGGGGCCAGTAAAAGTCTCGACTCACCGTGAGATATGTTTTCTCTCGGCCACGATGTCCTCCTATAGGAGCATCGTGATACTCGAACATGCTCCGCAAACGCAGATCAGTATCATCTGGAATGACAACACGTGGTGTGTCACCAGAAACGGCTGTATAATACAGTAAACCGTTGCGACTAGTGTATTGATCTGATGCAGATCGATACGCAGGCGACAATCGTTTCAACGATTCTCGGGATGGTTGGGAGAGATGTGTCAACAACTTCACAATCTCACCATCTTGGGCGTATGCCCGCCTCACATCATCATACAACGTTGTAGATGGGACTGAGGACGTCATAACCGCAACAGTGACTGTCTCACTGCTGGGTTTCGCGACTGTTTCAAAGTCGGGACGACGTGAGAGTGCATCAGCGACGACATTAAGTCGTCCTGGTTTGTACTCGACCGTAAAGTTGCATTCCGCAAAGAATGACAACCACCGCGCCATTCGTTGTGAAAGGTGCGGGCTGTTCACTGCCGTGCGTAATGACGCATGGTCAGTGTAAACAATGAAGGGTCTATCTCCTAATAGATAAACTCTGAACTTCGCGAGTGCATACTTCATGGCAAGGAGTTCCTTGTCACGCACTGGATAGTTCCGCTCAGCTGGTTGCAGCTGACGCGACTGATAGCAGACGACGCGTTCAACGCCTTCTAGGTCGTACTGCATTAATGCACAGCCGATCGCGAAATCGCTGGCATCACAGACCACATGAAATGGCCTGTCCTGATCGGCTATTGCTATGACTGGGGATTGCATCAAGCTCTGCTTGATACCATCAAAGGAGCGCTGACATTTAGCGATCCATAACCACCTCTCGTTCTTTTTCAACAAACGAGAGAGGTGTACAGTCATCTCGGCGTAATTGCGTGAATACTTATGCAAATGCGCCACTAGCCCAAGGAAGTTTTGAAGACCTTTGACATCAACCGGCACAGGCCAGTCGGTGATTACCTTGATCTTTTCGGGATCAAGACGTACACCGTTCTTACCAACGATGCACCCAAGAAGTGTGTTGATTGGGTGAAAAGCTTGACGACCGAAACTGGGAGTGATGCTGGGAGTCCACTCGGAAGACCGGAGAAGACACTTGGGGGGTAGATGGAAGATTCGAAAGTGATTGATTATCGGGGCTTACTACTTACTACAACCTGATTTATATGTAGTCCACATATAAATCATGTAGATCTTCCTATCAAGCTACTCGTCTAATCAACTATGACGTAATTACCTGTAAGAACTCTGCCGTAAATACTAAGCTTTAGAGTTCGGATTGTACCGGTCACGGTTACCAATACTGGTAGAAACCGATAACCCTCAATACGCCCCCCTCAATGCGAACTCGCATGAATAGCGAGTGCAGCCGTCAAATCCTTGTGACGAGGTCCCGGAAGTGCCTTCGTCAAGATGTCCGCAAGCATGATGGAAGTCTCACAATGCTCAAGCTCCACTTCACCACGCTTGACTTCATCACGGATGTGATGGTACTTGATGTCGATGTGTTTTGCACGACCATGGTTGACGGGATTCTTCGTCATCTTGATGCAGGACTGGTTGTCTTCACGGATGACGAGGTCCGGTCCTGGTTCGTTTGCGGCCGCCAAAATCTCGCATAGCAGGCGATGTACCCACTTGCCTTCCTGTATGGCCAGACTTAGCGCGATGTATTCCGCTTCACTTGTCGACAGTGACACGCTTGACTGCTTCTTGCTTCCCCAACTTATGGGTGCACCGAGAAGTACGAACGCGTAACCCGAAGTTGACTTGCGATCAGCATGGTCGCCGGCCCAGTTCGCATCAGAATATCCGCGAAAGTCGATCTTGTCCGTCGGCTGATAGCGAATGCCATGTGACTTGGTTCCTTGTAGGTAGCGAAAGATGCGTTTTACTTCCATCCAGTGTTCTTGCTGGGGATTCTCCATAAAGCGAGACACATAACCCACAGCATACGCGATATCTGGGCGCGTTGCAGTCATCAAATGCATCAAAGCACCAACCGCTTCGCGAAACGGAACATCCATCTTGGCCGCTTCGCTGCTTGCGACAAGCCGAGTGCTCAAGTCGACCGGACTTGCTGTGGCCTTGCAGTCTTCCATCCCAAAGCGCTTGAGAATGTCGTCGACATAGCGTCGCTGGCACATCGTCACGCTGTCAGCGTTTTCGACCAGTTCTATGCCCAGCACAAAAGCACACTTGCCACTGTCGGTCATCTCGAAGCGCGTCTTGAGGTCGGCCTTCGTCTGCGCAATCAACTCGAGCGAACTGCCTGTTACCAAAACGTCATCCACGTATACCAGCAGCAGCACACAGTGACCGTCCACAATCTTGATGTAGAGACACGGGTCATAGGCCGAAACTTGGAAACCGATGGAGCAAACAAACTCGTCGAAGGTCTCGTTCCATACACGAGAAGCTTGCTTGAGACCGTAGATTGCCTTCACCAACTCGAGGCAGTTGAAGTCTCCGTCCAATTCGACGCCTTCTGGAACCGCGCAGTACACCGTTTCTTTCATCACACCATAGAGAAAAGCTGTGACCACGTCAAGTTGGTCAAGAGGCCAGCCAAAGTACTTGGTAATCGCGACCACCATGCGCAGCGTCACATACTTGACCACTGGTGAGAATGTCTCCGTGTAGTCGATGCCGTACTTCTGCTTGAAGCCCTTGGCAACAAGACGCGCCTTGTACTTCTCGATCGATCCATCCGCTTTGCGCTTGATCTTGAACACCCACTTGGTACCGATGGCGCGCTGGTTGCTCGGCAATTTTGCCGCACGAAATACTCCACGAAGTTGCATCGACTTGAGTTCCGCCTTCACAGCATTTCGCCAGTGAGCTTGATCAGGACCATTGATCGCGTCTTGAAAAGTCACAGGTTCTGCTAGGTCCGTTGCTTCCACTGCGTTCGCACTAGCACGCCAAAACGCTGAAGGCGTGGAGTCATTATCTTGATCGTAGACGCTTGCATCTTCTTCGTCATCAGACATCGTTTCTGGAGCACTTGATCGTCGTTTCTGGTGACGGTTGGAGACGTGTTCCGGCGCACTTGCTTGTTCCAACCCAGTTCGAGGGCGAGCTGAACGTGACATGCCGGGTCTTGCTTCACTCTTGCGCTTGCCAGTCTGCTTGTAGACGGTTTGACGCACGTCGTCCTCGTTGATCGCCAGGAGGTCGAGGTCCAACTCCGCATCTTCATCATCGTCACTTGGTCGGTCCATCGAAAAGTCAAAAGTCGATTCGTCGAAGGTGATGTCACGACTGATCACCACTTGGCCCGCCTCAATGTCGTACACTCGATAAGCTTTTGACGCTTCTTCGTAGCCCATGAACATCCCTTCACGAGCCTTCGGGTCCCACTTCAATCGCTTCTCCCTTGGTGTCAGGATAAACGCCCGACATCCAAACACGCGCATGTGCTTGACACTTGGTTTCGACTTGTACACGATCTCGAACGGAGTCTTGTGGTCGATCTTGGGTGAAGGCAGGCGGTTCTTGATGTAGATCGCCGTCATTGCCGCTTCAGCCCAGAAACACTTCTCCAGCTTTGCATGATGCAACAAGCTGCGTCCGATCGTGACGATGGTCCTTATCGCGCGTTCTGCGGTGCCGTTGTTCTGGTGTGCATACGGCACCGTGATCTGTTGTTCGATACCATGATCTTCGTAGAAGGTCTTGATGGAGTTGGTCGCAAACTCATGCGCTCCATCGTGCCGAACAAACTTGATCTTCGTGCCGAACTGAGTTTGAATCTTGATAATGTGGTTCTTGATACAGTCTTCACTCTCAGACTTGGCTCGCAAACAGAAGCCCTTCATACACCCACTAGCT